TTCTTTAAATTACTTTATCTACTTTTTCTAATCTGTCTTATATGTGAATGCAGGTGAACTCATGATAACTGCTGGAAATGGTCTGGGAATCTCGGTCTGTGATATGCTGGTAGCTGACCAGCGTTAACCTACGATCCGGTCGTGTTTGGAGTTTTTTATAACCCATATTGGCGCCAACCGAATTTAAGTCTTTGTTATTGATAAAGATTTCAATGAACGACGAGTGCTCAATGACATTTATAAAGAAGCCAAGGTAAGAATTTTTTGTTTTGGATTTAGTATTTTTTTATTGAATATGCGTACTACTCTCATTTCCTTCGCAGGTGTTGTTCTGCCAATTTCATGCTATAACGGCAGTCCAGAAAAAATTAGCTGATGCGTCCTTATCCTTGACTTGGCAGCAGCGCGATGGTATTGAGGTTGCGTGGAGGTGGGTGGTGCACACTAAGTCGCATACAAGTTTTCAGAAGCGGTGGACACTTCTTGTGGAAAAGTGTGCAGAGGTTTCGTTTGTATTGCCTGAGTACTTTCGGTCGAACTGGTACGAGTGTCGAGATATGTGGGCGGCACACGCCAGATCCAAGTTTTACTCTGTCGGAAACACTAATCGTCTGGAGGCAACCTGGAAGCACATGAAGACGATGATGAATTTGAATTCGACTTTCGACAAGTGTCTATCCGCTATTTTGCTGTACCAAGTTCAAGTGCTGCGTGCGCTAAAGTGGGACCTCATTTTGGTTGACTCTAAAAGCCACTTCTACCCAAACGACCCTCACGCACTCCAACACGTGAGTAGCGTACTCAGTTCGTATGCATACGGTCTTGTCCGCGATCAGTACCAGTTGTTCGGCACCAGTTGTTCGTCCGCGAAGGCAGTACCTACTCGATTGTTGGAGAGCGAATGGAGTATAGCGTTATAGTCGCAACAAGGAGTGGCGAGTTCGAGGCTTTTTCGATGGAAGTGCGTGTGACTGTTTGCACTTTTCCAGTACAAGATTCCTATGCTCGCATATTGTTTTCGCTGTGCTTGTCGTGGCGAAGTTGAGTTACCTTCCTCGATCTTTGATTTTGTCACGGTGGAATTATGCTGCTGCTGCGCGCTGTTTAGTACCCGCTCTACAGACGACAATAACAGCAATTCGTGATAAAGCGCTCTTGACTTTGGAAACTAGGCGGGCTGAAACTTCCGGCGAATCGACTGGTACCCGTGTGACGCCAAACCAGCCTATCCTGCCGACTAACTACGCTCGCTTATCAAGGGGCGAGGTCTGTTCCAAAGCTT